TTCTGTATTATCAGTACACCTGCCCAAAGGTCTGAGGCCAGCTGCTTATCAGTACTATCATGGATATTGTTCTTCTCACATAGGTGATTGAAAATTGCTATCTCAGTGGAAAATCCCAGTGCAATTCTTTTTTCTTTTACTTTGGGTGCATTTACATTGTAGAATTCATTCGGTTTGACACTACTTTAACTGCCATGGCTCAATGCTATGGAATTATGGGAGTTGCAGTTTTACAAGGTCTTTAGCCTTTCTGACAAAGATTGCTAGTACCTCAGTAAACTACAGTTCCCACAATTCCATAGCATTGAACCATGGCAGATAAAGATGCGTCAAACTGCATTAACTCTACAATGTAGATCCCCCCTTTAACATAGCTAATGAAGGCATTCTAACATCACCTAAATTTATGGAATGGAAAGTGAATTAAAAAATTAAAAGCATTAATTTAAAATATAAGCATACACCCACATATGCATACATACACCATGTTGAAGAAACAGCACACTCAATTAAAGTAGCCCCTTTCAACAACCATTTAATAACAGAAGACAAGTCAAAACACCAAATGGGTCTGTCTGCAACTGGAAAGAAAAAAGAAAGATAATCCCAGGTGTTGGTCTCCAAATACTGGCTTCCCTTTGCACTTTCTGACAGTTCACCATATCTGCTACCAAGGAATTCCAAGCCCTAAAAAGCAAAATTTCGAAGTACAGAGTAGTATTATGAAGCAATATGTCTGATACACACCATGTTTTTCCGATTCTTAAAAACCAACATTTTCAACATGTTAACATTATTATACATATCTAGAACACGAAAACATTGCACCTCTGTAAATATAGAGCTCAGAATGTTAATTTATAAAAAATAAAGTGTTAGTAGTAGTCACTTCCTCCATAACACATTACACATTGCTTTTTGCCTTGAATGCTTTGCTAACGCATTACTAATGTGTTACCTTTTAGCATCATTACTCCTCTACTTCCATTTATTTGTATAGCCCCATCAATGTACATGGCACTGTGCATTATTTTCAAAAATGTTCCATATTTGGCTGAAGTACCTAAAATTTCCCCTCATACATATTTAACATTCTGAAATGAATGTTACTCACTGCACATACAAATTTAATGATGTCAGTACTTCTTAAAGAAGAGAACATTATTATGCCCACGTTTCCTCGCAAAGTAACATATTGCAGATAGCATTGAACTTGTAGCATGTTACTTCTAAGTTCTCTAAATAAGACCTATATGAATCGTTTGAAAGCAAAATAAATGCAATATGTCACTTTCCTAGGTGAGTTCAATAGTTACCATACCTTTAGACTCCAAAAACAAATATGTATGAAGGATTTCAGGATCTCAAAAGATATCTGACCAAAAATTACACTTTGAGTGTTTAGTCTTCCTTCTAATTTCATCTTTGGGTGTAAAGTTTCATAGCAAGAAGACATTTTTTGTCTTAGCATGAAGTGTGTATTATTTGATAGCAGATGTGAAAATAATTCTAGCTTTTACAATGTAGATTCTAATACTATTGTTAAGCATTTTGACAGCCACACAGAGTTTGCTTATTATGTAGAAAAGACCCACTGAAATACTACAATCCACAAATGCAGTCAGAGCATAAAGTAAAAGTTCTGAAGTCTGGAAGGGGATTGACCACTAAAGGCGCTGCCTGCCCATGGTCCAGATAGGGAGAGGCACCTTATCTTGTCACTGCAGGATGAGGCATCTCCACCACCACCCCAACATGCACAGAGGTCATAAGCTCACTCTGGCTCAGGAGTTATTCCTCCTATGCCTTGAGCATTTTATCTGAAGTTGTTCTTGGACGCCTTTGCTCTCCTTGTCAGTGCCCAATGACTGCAAGACTACATAGCTGACACTGTGTCTTGCAAATTGCCTGGAGGACTGCTTTATGTCACAGAGTGACTTAATATTGATGCACAGGGCATTTCTGATCCTATGGACTTTTACTCTATAGTATGACTTTCACAACTCTTTTGTCCACTTGGAAGATGCAAAACAACAAATAAGTCATAGTTTTGGAGAAACAGGAAGTATTGAGACAGTCAATGCTTTTTTGTTCATTCTGTAGCATAAAGTCACTTTTGGTTATAACTGTCCAAGGGTGTGTCTACACTGTAGAAATAATGCAATTGGGCACCACTTTAACTTCATATAGATCACTGCTATGGACTTATGAAAGTTATGGGTTTACAAGATCTTTAGTCTTCTCTGCCGAAGAGTGCTGGTGCCTTATCAACTATAACTCCAAGGCAGTTAAAGTGGTATCAAACTGCATAAATTCTACAGTGCAATGTACCCTAAGAGTGACTGAAAAAGCTAAGGATTGCTGCTGGGTTGTTTTGGTTTGCCTTCTGTCAAAGAAAACAGGGTCAACCTAATTCTGATATGACTTGAAAGCACACAACAGCAACAACAATCCTATCTCAAAAGCAGGCCCACATTTCTCACTGAAATACTAATAAGTTTATATTTGTTAAAATTGTTCTTCATTTTAATTATTGTATTGTTTTTAAGTGTCTTTTGCACTACAAATAAGCTATGTGCAGTGTGCATAGAAATTCATGTTTTCTTTTCAAATTATAATCTGGCCCTCCAACAGTTTGAGGGACTGTGGCCTGGCCCTCTGTTTAAAAAGTTTGAGGACTCCTGCTAAAGAGCTTTCAATCCAGAATAAATATTATCCCAATTGGATTGCTGCCATGATAACACACTGTGATTGTTCTTATGCCCATCAGAAGTGTGGTCCCTGTTTTGTTGGTTGATCTATTGATGCAATTTGCACTGGTTGACTGTGAGATTTTTTAAAAAGATGATTTCTATTATTTAATTTACTATGGTATAAATCCCAGTGGCACAATGGGTTAAACTCTTGTGCCAGCAGAACTGTTGACCGACAGGTCAGTGGTTCAAAACCAGGGGCAACGGGTAGAGCTTCCTCTGTCAGCTCCAGCTCCCCATGTGGGGACATGAGAGTAGCCTCCCACAAGGATGGTAAAACATAAATATATCTGGGTATCCCCTGGGCAACATCCTTGCAGATGGCCAATTCTCTCACACCAGAAGCCACTTGCAGTTTCTCAAGTTGCTTCTCCCACACACAAAAATTACTATTCTTCTCCTGCTTTGAATTACAAACTTGTTGCATGGTGCATTGGCAGAAAAGCTACCTACAACCACAAATGCTGTACTTTGTTATATAGAGACTGGTGTAGATCTGGCAAGAATTTTCCATGACACTATATTCCAATAAGCAGTCCACAGATTCAGGTGAGAAATGCCAAGGCAGCTCAAATAACTGCTTAAACTCCTGTGTTGTGTTTCTGTAGGTCAAAGGGGAATGCACCTGAGAAGCTAGTGACTGCATATTCAACATTTTGTGAGAGAACAACTAGGCTGTGCAGAGCTTTTGCACCTTCATTGGCCATTGTCTACTTGCATTTTAAAATATGTTATCAGTTTCAGTTATCTGTCAAAAGCTTAAGTGTTCCAGACTTTCACAAAGGAGAAAAGAACCAGCCACTCTCATTTAGTCTGCAATGTGAGAGAAGGGCTCTTGGAAATACCATTCAAATGCTCCAAGAAGCACATGCAAAGTGCATGCATTCATGCCTCCCAGATCCTGAATGCGAGGAATATGGCAACATAAGGTTACTTATTCCTATTATTCTTTCCTAGATTATAGGTTTCAACTCTGTAAATATACATTACAGATAATTACAGGTGGCCTGCTTAAATGCCTTACAGGCACCATATCCTATCTGATCTTGAATCAATCCTGGTTAATATTTGGATAGGAGACCAGCAAGGAATTCTGGGGGCTGTAGGCTGTATTTCAGAGCAAGGAAGAGGCAAAACTACCTCTGATTTTTCCTTGCCTAAGAAAACCCCTATGAAATCAATGGAGTCACTCAATGCCTACAGGTGATGTGAAGGCACATACACACCGTTACCTGTAATGAGATACTTCTTGGTAGTGTGAGTGTAACAAAAATGCATTGCAAAACTATGAGTGGGAATGATAGTTTAACGTGTTGCAACAAGTAATGTTTTAGTTACTCCTATTAGTTACTCTTTACTTGAGCAAGTGATTTATTTATTTATTTATTTTTATGCTATTATCTTATTAGCCCTAAAATCCAATCCCAAAGCAATGAAAAAGCAAAACAAAGAAAAAAAGTAATAATTAGTTTACTTTTTAGCAAAAAGGGATAATTAAAACTCTGTAATGAATAATAATCCCTAATGCAACTGGAAGGTCCTAAATCATGATAGTGACAGTTCCTGGCCAATTTCTCCAGGTTAACACATGCACACTAACTTCTGGCCACTAGAATGGCACTATCTCAGCTACTGAAATCAGGCTCTCCCCCACCCACACACAATACACAACTATAGCAGGTAGATACTACTTTAACTGTTGTGTGTGCACCTTGAGACATCCTGGGATTTACCCTTTAGGAAAAGATATTGATGGTTCTGCGCCACAGAGTTCTGGTGCCTCCTGAAATTACACATCCAAGGATTCCATAGGATGCTGCCATGGCAGTAAAAATGGAATATGGCACTGTAATGGTGTAGTGTCACATTGCAACCTTTTTGAGGGAAGTTGCATTAAGAACTCCATATTCATATCTATCATGTTCCTGGTCACCAAATGATGCTTTTTGGGAAGAGCAGCAAAATGTTTTAACCTCATATGTCCCTGCACTGCCATTGGGAATTGTTGTTTGCCAGAAGAAAGGGCAGGTATCCTGTTTGAAAAGGCTGAAATAAGATTATGTTCCAATATAGTAAATTAAAAAATAACTATAACTCAGAGCATGAGGAAAAGATTTCCTTATATAGAACTGTTCACGTGCATCATTGGAAGTCTCAATAATTCCACCTGTATTTTTAAAGACTTCTTTGGAGTAGAAAAAAAATCCAGTTTAAAATATAGCAGGTTTATTTTCTTCTGTTTTGCAGATGAAAGAACTCTACAATAAAGAAGATCTGTTGGCACAACCTGACCAGAGGACTTTCTGGACCAATGATGATTCAGGTAAGAACATGAGAAGCAAAGACATATCCTTCAAAACATGATCAAAAAGTTCACAATCTCACAGTGTGTATGCTGTGTATATCTCTTCTGACATTTAACTACTGACTAACTACAATAGAGTATGGTCAAGATGGTAAAAGTTATCAATGAGCAAGAAAACACAAGGTAGAGAGGCTAAAGCAGTCTTTTGTCAAACGACCTCATCATATGGGGTGAATTAAGCATCCTAGGATGCTTTCACCCTGTCTCATAGATGGAGCCTGACACCAGACATCACATGACATTGTGTGACATCTGGCACTGTGTGACAACTGGGATGAAAGTGTTATTGGATGCTTTTCTCCCAACACGGGAGGCAAGGGTGACGCTTTCCTTGTGTGATAGTGAAACCATTGTGGAAAGGGAGCTGCATGTGGAGCAACAGATTTGCCCTGCTGCTCCTCTTTTCCTTGCAAAAGCCCAGCACTTTCCCTTAGCTTGCTGATGAGGTTGTGAGTTTAATGAAAGGCCAAGATTCTGCTCTTTTCCTCTTCCCTCTGCTGAATGCACATTGAACTAGTTTACAGCCATCCTAGTAAACTTAAGACCGGGGGGGGGGGGGGGGGGGGGGAGTGGGACAGTTAGAAGGTATCTCTGCATGAATATTTGATCCACTGGATCAGATCAAAGGTCAATCTTATACAGTATTCTTCCAACTGTCCCACTCTTCCCCCCCCCCCCCCCCGCCCCCCGCCATCAGATACCCATGGGAAACTCACAAGCTGGCCATGAAGGCCGTGTGTGTGTGTGTATGTGTATCTAACCCACCCTTTCTCCCCGAAGGGACTAAGGGCGGCTTCCAAAAACAAAGGCAAACATTCATCACCTCCCCCTTGTGTTACTCTCAAATGGCTGTGATCTAGAGATATCCTGCCTGCAATCCTGGAGTTAGCCGCTAGCCATGGAAAGTCTCAGTCTCTGATAGTCAAAACTCACAGGCCCTCTGACAGCAATTGTTCCAATTCATTGGAACAATGTTAGATCAACCATAATGAAATTTGGTAGAGCTTCTAGTACTAGGAATCATCTGGTAATCTGAAAACAAACACTTTCTGTCTGCCTGTCTGTGTATGTGCTTTCAAGTTGCCTGCTGGCTTATGGCTGCTCCATAAATTTCATAGGGTTTTTTAAGACAAAGAATACTCAAGTGGCGTTTTTGTCAGTTCCTTCCTCTAAAATATAGTCTATGGTACTTGATTTTCATTAGCTGTCTCCTATTCAAGTACTGACTCAATTTATCTTCCAACATCAAATGGAATATGGTGCCTCCAAGGTACATCCCAGGCCTCATATAAAGATACAAACATTCCTGAATTCCTGAAAGTGAAATCTTTGCAAGAACATTGTCGCTGGGATAAAAACATTTCATGGGAACTTCTCTTGAGATGATAAGGCTCAACAAGACTAATGATAACTTGCAATTTGAGAAGAGTAGCTGTGTAATTGACCATTTAGTTTACAAAAATGCATAATTGACTTGAGGGCTCCACTGTTCTGTTACTGTTCAGCTGATAGAAGCTAAAGTGTATGGCTTCTAATGATCTGTATCTAATTGAAATGTTTAAGTTCTCTTTAAGTCCTTCAGGCATTGTTCATGTGAGATAACACTAGGTCCTGAAGGAGTTTAAACACAGTATTTTTTCACTCTGTCTCCTAGGTTAGATTGTTTTACACAGGGGAGCTGAAAGGGGGAAATTCTTCAGGACTGCTCTGTTTAAAAACAACACATAAACAAGATCAAATTACAGGACACCCGTATGTCCTATGACAAGGGCACAGTCTCGATTCTTAACTTCAACTAAAAATAATTTGGCTATTCTTTGGGAAATTTTAATATATTTTTTATTCACGAGGTTACAAGGGAACCCAATTAATGAATTACAGTATGCCCATATTATCTTCTGGGGTTTATTCTAGGACCCTCCATGTACATCAGAATCCATGGATATTTAGGTCCCATTATATATGATAGCATGACAAAAGCAGAATTTGATTTTTTTTTAATTCATTGTAATATTTTCAAGATTTGGATGGTGGATGTTAGCATGGTGTCGTGGTTTGAATAGATACAACTATGGGAACTCATTTGGTGAACCTGGCAAAGTTACACTGTAGAAAGTTACACACCTGCCTGAGAAAAATGCAGTTCCAAATCTCTGGATAAATCTTGCCAAGAAAATCCTATGATTGTATTGCTATAGACTGTAGTCAGCTTGAAGGCACACAATAACAACAAGATGATGAGGAAAGCCATGCCAACCCTTACAAGTGGCAATGTGTCTATGTGGCCAAGGTAGCAGTGGATTATGAGTTTCAGCTTCTATTTTTCCTCACCCATTCCTGACATTGGATGAGTGTTTGCTTCTTAGGTTGCTTGATAAAAAGTTTTAGTGCTTGTAACTCAACAATGAAGATAACTGTGTGTTGAATCGTCTCGACTACACTCTTTCTCCCTAGCTGTTCATAAACAGTTTCACTCATGAATGTATCTTTTCCATTAGTATGGTTGGAATGTGCCTTTTAAGTAGAGAGTGTTTGGACTTCTGCAGAGGACAGCAAATAATTGGATAATGGCACTATGAGAGTGAGGAATTTGTCATCTCTGGTGTTGTAGTTTTCCACAGACCTATGCTGTATTTTACCTGCTTCTGTCACATAAAATGACAGGACTCCTCAAACTGGTTTGCAAGTTCTGCATCTCAAAGACCATTTTGATGGCTTTTCTTTTTGGCTGCATTACCTTTTTTCTCAACATATCTCTCGGTAGGGAAAGGTAACATTAGGACTGGCACAATTCTATGGTAGAAAACACGCTTTGCATGGGAAGCCATGATATATAGGTAGGACTATCAAAGCATGCATAGCTTGGAAAACTGCAAACTTGTGTGGCCCCCTGCAAGTGATCAGTTCTGATCTCTGCAAGACAAAGATTTCCTGTTGCCAGCAACCCAAGGAAGAAAAAGGGAAAGTATGAAGGACCAGAAAACAGAAAGAAAGAAAATGGGTGGTGGTGGAGGAATGTTCCTATCACTATACAGTACACTCTATCTACCACTGACTTCTGTTCTGCCTGTTGACAGCATGCAACCCTGAGATAAATGATGCCAAGCAAACCCCATGACTATCTTAGGGTCACCATTAGTCAAAAATGACTTGAAGGATGTATTTATAATGTCGAGTTAATGTAGCTTGACATCACTTTAAATGACATGGTTAGAAATCATGTGAGTTGTAGTTTTACAAGCTCTTAGCCTTCTCTTCCAAAGAGTGCTGGTGCCTCACAAAACTACAAACCCCAGGATTCCATAGCATTGAGCCCCCTCAGTTAAAGTGATGTCAAGCAGCATTAATTGAGCAATGTAGATGCATCCTCTGAGAAGGATGGATCATGTAGGACACACATGCAGAATGATCAATCAAGACTCTTGGATCTTTTCATAAGAGAGGTTCCTAAAGCATCTTTAGCCATAATGAAAGGAACGGGAAGGGCAATTGCATTGTGCTTCCTACTCCTGCACTTTTCTCATTTCCAAAAACAGCTGCTCCAGCTCATGAGCTAATAAAACAGACTATTTTTAGTCCTAATTGATGTAGCTTTGAGCCCAAATTCCCCAATCTTTTAGCAAGTCACACCCAACTTTTGACATTACTATCACCAATACTTTATTTGGCTATCTTAATGCCTATTTTCATTCTCTATGCAATATTTAAAGTCCAGTATTATTTTCACTAATGGGTTGACAGATCAGCAGGCACCCACATTTTAACTGGCAAATCAGTTGGAACCAAGGTTCATTTTAAAAATTGTTTTCAGTTCCCTGGATTCCTAGGTTTATTTTCAGCTATTGTATTTCTAGGAAGAGAGAAATTATTGGCCAAAGCCTCTAGAAGGTCAGGAAACAGTTATTCTCGTGTCATGCCAGAGAATTTCCTTCACTTCTGGTGTACATAACCTCTTTAGGCTTTCTTAAATATGTTCTATATTTTTAATGTATACTCTGAAAGCTTTTCTTGTTTCCAGTTTCACCTTGTAACCTTATGAGGTAAATCTAAACGACCACAGCTCCAACTGTTCCTGCCTGGCAGGGACAGCTGTGTTTAATCCTTTTTAATCAATGTCACTTTTTTGACTTCTTATTGCCCTATGAGCCTTTGTTTCCAAATACTTTTATCAATATTTTTATCCACAGTCGGGGGCACAGGGTAATAAAATTCACTTAAGCAAATAAAAATAAAATGCCAGGATTATAATGAGATCTTTAAATTAAGGAAATCAATTTACCCAACTTTTTTTTCCATTTGGATTATCACATCCTGATAACTGCATGTAATAGAGTTGCCAGATGTAGCAGCATGGATAGTACAGTGAATAACAATTACATAAAATGTAAGTAATCGTACAAGAAAAAAGTGGCCCCAAATAATTATAATAAATAAGGAATATTTGCTTGGGCTTTGTCCAGAAATAAAAGTTTTGTGTTGCCCTGTGTAAAATGTGTTTTGCTGACCTTAGCATTTATTTATGTTATATTGCTTCTTTTTTTCTACTAAGCTCAGGCAGGTGCTCATGCTTGCCTTCCAACCCATTTTGTCCAAGATCTCTTGTTCAATGCCAACCGAGGCCCATTCACACTAACCAACTGTAGCACTATGATTCCATTGTAACCACCATTTTTCCATCTTGTGAACTTTTGGAGTTTATAGTTTGATGAAGCACTAGGGGAGAATTTAACTACTCTTTATTGAATTGCAGATCTCAGTATCCCATGGAACAGGACCATGGTAGTTTAAGTAGAATAAGAGTATCATAATTCTATAGTGTGAATAGGTCCTTAGTGAATTGCATGAGCAGAACGGCAGATCTGAAATCCTGATCTCCTACCACTACACTGAATTGGCTCTGTAAACTTATCATAAAATTTGGCGGATCTCTCCCTCTTTCTTTCTCTCCCACTTTCTCT